TAAAAAAATACCAAAGTATTAACTCATTTTTTTTTTATGTAAATAAAATTAAAATAGAAAATCTATAAACTTAAAAGAGTAAGTATTTGATTAAATACAGATGCCTTGAGTAAATATTTAAAATACATATTCAAGTAATATAAAGTTTTCATCTCAGAGAGATGTGAATTTTGTTATATTATCRTTAAAATATTTTTAATACTTGGGATCTATTTGCACTGCATTAATTTCAGAAGGTTCAGTATTGTTTGGAATCAATTCTTCGCTTTGCTCAATAGATGTGGATTTCTGTTCAAAATCATCTAACACAGAAGGGAAATAATGTCTTGACATGGTGATTTTCTGTGGYGGAGTCTAAAATGTATATTTTTGGACAGTTAGTAATATTATTACTGTATATTTATATAACAAATACATTTTACCTGAACACGAATAAATTCTTCAGCTGGTGGCTGAGGAATGATCAAATCATCAATAACAAATTCTCTTGGTTTTGAAGAAGATCCTTGATGCTGATTATTACCTGCATAATTACAAGCCATTACATTTTCTAATTCTTAAAGAATGCGAAACCTATTTATTTATAATYATTTTAAATCATCAATGGATTTATATTTATATTATGTTAATTGTAAGTGCTAGTAAACATTAAAAACATTGTTTCAAGTTTAAAATACAAATGTAACAATATATTACTTAACATCAAAGCCACGTCTTACCACTTAGTGGCATGAAACATAGGGCCTAAATATTGCTCAGGCAACAACTTATGGGTGGCTATTGATAGAAGAAAAATAGAACATTCTATATGTTGGTCTAACGGTATTTAAAAGTAGTTTTTCTTTGATTTAACAAAACATGGCTGGTATCTAACTTTTTCATATTGAAACATTTATAAAATTATAAAGTAAACTATCACCTAATTGCTTCATAAAATTCTGAGTAATATTAGATTATACCKGATATCAAAGTCCAGAGGTATAATATAAGCCATACACAAAATGTAAGATACAGCCTTCCAAAAAAAAGAGTTAATATAGGGAAACTATAGTAAAATTTACCTATAAGAATAATTTTTTCTGGAACCCTCATATCAAAATTGTCACCAAATCGGCTGTTATCGTCAGCATAGTAGTTTGTCGAACGAAAATTAGAAACATCTCCATTCACCCGAATGCTCTTAGGCACTTGCATCTTATTGTTAATCTCTTCGGTGAAGTTGGTATCATAAACGTGATGGTCGTCCATTGCAAATTCAATAATTTAAAAAAATCTATAAGTAAAAATTTTTTAACATTAAAATCACTTATACACATGAAGTACCTCAAATTTGTTTACCTGGATGATCCGTCGCTAGAGTTGTGATGGTCGCGACTGAATGAATCCAAATACTATATACGACAATAATACTGTAAAATCTGGTGACCGTTCTTATCAATTCCCATCGAGATTGATATTAAATTGCCTAACTTTACTCCTTAAAATGTAATTTTAATTCCCACCATTTTTAAAATTTGAATATCATTAATAGTACATTCGTACGAATCGTAYGTAATATATTCAATATTCATATTAGTTTATTTATTTGGCGGCTTGAACTTTTTTTCCCTCGAATCACGTTTAATATTTTTACAACACACGCCCTAAAATATAGTTATTAGTTATTAGTTATTACTGTAGGTACATTATCTGCTGAGTACACGTTACCGCTATACATATATTATTTGACTGATTTTAGAAGTAGATATTTTTTTATTTTTTTTTACTTAACGAAATATACCCTCGGCGACATA